GTGTTCCCCTTCTTATGCCCCTCTTAGGGCCCTCGCGGGGCTCCCTTGGGCCGTCTGGGGGGCCTCTGTGGTCGTCCCGAGGCCTTCCCAGGCCGTCATGGGGCTCTCTTGGAGGCCTCACTGGCCGTCTTGGGACCTGGGCCGTCTTTGACGGGGTCAGGACGAAGAAGGCGAGCATGCTAAACATGCACACTTTCCTTTGGGAAGGAAGCGGTGTTCGTTGCCGGGGGTCCTCCCAGCGGTTCTCTTGGAGCACTCCTGGGCCGCCTGGGGCGCCTCATGGAGGGTCGTCGCGGGGCCACCCTGGGCGATCTCGACGCTTCCCTGGCCGTTTGGGTGCCGCTCTTGCGCTCTGTTTTGGATCCCCTGCGCCGCCTTTGGGTCTGGAGCGGCTCCAGCGGCCCCGGGGACGCGTTCCGGAGCTCGCCCCTCCCCGTGTTCTCCCCTCCCCCGCCATCCAGACGGCACTTGGGATCCTGGGTTGGGACCCGACGACCATGCCGCAAAGATGAGCTCCAGCAGGGCTCCTGGACTCCTGATGCTTGCTTTTCCATGCTTTTTGAAGGGCCTTGTATTTCCCGCCCGTCGTACGCTGCAAGGCTGCCCAAGCGGCCCCGAGGATCACCCCGAGACAGCCCCAACGCACGCCAAGGGGACCCCAACGCGTCCCACTGGGCCCCCAAGACGGGCTGTCCCTCGGCTCCCGGGACGATCCAAAAAGGCTTCGAATCGGCCCTCCCGCGCCCTCACACGCCCATGACGGCCGCCCTCCAGACTGCCCGCGAGGCTCCCAAGACGCACGAGCCGGCGTCCAAGCGAGGCCGAAAACTGCCGACCAGATTCCCAAGCCTACGACGCTCGGGAAGTCGCCTCAGATGGAGGACCACGTTCGAGCCTCTCCCACAAAGATTGCTCCCGAGACCGCCAGGAGGCCCCCAAGACGACTCCGAGAGCCCCCAAGAGGCCCCCAGAGGCCTCGAAGACGCTTCCAGTGAGCCCTGCGTGAGCCCCCAGAGTCTGCCGAAGAGGCACTCAACCAAATTCCCAGATCTTCCCTCCAGAACGTCGTTCTCTCTCACACCTCCTGCCCAGGGGTGCCCAGCACAACCCCACGAGGCCTCCCAACGGCCCGCGGTGTTCCCAAGACGGTGAAGGGCAGCCTCCCAGGGACTCCCCCACGGTCTGTCAACCACGCTCTGGAACACTCCCGCTGGAACGCGCTTCTCGGACCCCTTCCTGCCGCCTTGCAGGTTTCTTTAAATTCATTATTTTGCCCATCGGCGCGGGCCCTCGCACCCCCCCCTCATGGAGTGGATCTTGGCCGTGTTTGGCGCCTGTTTCGAGCAGGTGGAGCCTCCCCCAGAGTGGACGCACTGCGGCAAACAGTCCCGCTGAGCAGAGGTCCAGGGCCAGACCCCGCCCCCTCCCGCCCCCTTTCCGCCCAATGTCGAAACGCCGCATCGGAAAAACGCGAGGAGGAGGAGGAGGAGGAGGAGGAGGAGGAGGAGGAGGAGGAGGAGGAGGAGGAGCAGAGCTTCCGCCGCCGCCTCAGCAGAGCTCCCTCCTCCCGCCGCCTCCTCCCCTCCACCCCTCCCGCCGCCTTCCAGCAGAGTTCCCTGGACTGTCACGGTTTCCGCCCTGGACTGTCGTGGCCTAGATGTTTGTTTTCTTGTAGCGCTTCTGTCGCTCGCCAGTTGGTTCTAGTTCTCGGACCCAGCGCTGACTCCGAGTCCAATCCAATCCAATCCAGCAGAGTTCCCTCCTCCCCGCTTCCCGGCCCTCCGGGCCTAACGCGCGGGATGCGTGGGGCTCTCCCGTCCGGCTCCCTGGGCCAGCCGCCTCGAGGCGCCTTCGGTGCGTCCGCGATTCCGCGAGTCGGGCATGTCCCTCGTCAGGAGAAATGTTCAAGTGTAGTTTTTTTTATAGAGAAAACACACATATATAGTCAGGAGACGATCTTTCTATCATTCCCGATTGTTTTTTATGCTTGTCGAGTCTTTGTCTCGTCCAGAATCCGCCTGTAGGAGGACACGCCCGACCTAACCCTAGGATGCTCGAGGAGACTCTCCGGGACTCCCGAAGAGGCACTCGGCCACGTTCAGGAGCGCTCCCGCCAGAACGTGTTCACACCTCTCACATTACGCACACGGCAGCCCAACGCAGCCCCATGAGGCCCTCCAACGGGCCACGAGGTCCCCGATATAGCAAGGACAGCCTCCCAGAGACTGACTCCCCGACCGAGCCTCAAACACTTTTTTGATTCGCGGGTCGAGAGCGAACCTCTTCCGGTCGAAGCTGAGCGGGCCGCGCGAAGCTTGAATTAACAGAGGGGGGGACAGAAGGAGCGCGGCCTCACGGCAAGGCCGGGAGGAGGCAAAGCCTCGGGATCAGGCGGTGCCGAAAACGACGTGCCTGCAAAGGAACGCCTTGGAAACCGAGCCTCAACCACGCTTTGGCAGATTCCCACCAGAACGCTGTTCTCCTACCCCTCCTGCCGCCTTCCCAGGGCAGCCTAACAGTCAAAAACCCTACTAAGGACGCGCGACTTTGCTCAGGGTACCCTTGCGCCCTTGCTCTTCCTTGCCCTTGCGTCCTTGGGGTCTTCGTCGTCCGCCGCCCCAAAAATCCCAACTTCGGCTTCCAAGGGTCTTGCGTCCTTGCCGCGCGTCCTTATTCGGGTTTTTGACTGTAACAGCGTTCCCTCCGTCTTGCCTTGCCACGGCCCAGCATCCGACTGCCCGAGGCGCCCCAGACCTCCTCGCGGCTGCTCGGCAATGAGTTTCACCAGTCGAAGACGACGGAAGGATACGCGACGAACGAACAACACACACCCATACTCACCACCCACCAAACCACCCCAACCCAACCCAATGGCCTCAATTTGCCATCCATTTCCAGTGGGGGGGGGCGGGGAACATCGAGAAAACACATATGGAACCCGTACCCCCCCCAACCCGAAATTCGGGTCTTCGGGTTGGGTTGGGGTGGTCTGGTGGGTAGTCACATACCCATAGGGGGAACGTTGAGAGGAGGACTGGCTATGGGTATGGGTGCGGGTTGTCGGATCCTGGGGGGCGCTTCCTTTCGAGCGGGGGCCCCCATCCGACAACACGCACCCATAGCCCGGTCCGTCCCACCTATGGATATGGGTGCGTGTTGTTCGTTCGTCAGTACGAGCATGTTCTGGAGCGCAGTCCCCAGAGCGTGCTGGTGCCACGACTTCGACGAAAGCTTGATCGTTCTCTCCTCCCTTGGTCTTGCAGATCAGCCAACATGCAGCTCTCTGCATCTGAGAAGCGGCGATTTGCACCGACTCTGCGCCACATCGACACCCGCACATGAGTGTGGCCTGGTGTTTTTGAGGAAGAGTGGACCCGAGGGCCGCCCGACGAAAACTATGACTGGTGATGAGGGGGCCATATGGCACTACGTCCCCCAAGCTCCCCTGGGCGAGTTCTCGGGGGACAACCCGCTTGGTTTTTGTTTGTGCCCACCCACCCTGCAGCCGGCGCGCCTCGCAGGGAAGCCCAGTTTTTTTCCACCACCCACCCTCCCTCCGCGGAACCTGAAGACCGGGGAGTACGTTTTGGCACTGGTCGGCGGCATGGTTTTCGGCACCCATCCCCCCCTCGCGGGACAGCAACACTGCGGGCTGCTCGTCGTCGTTGTCGTCGTTGTCGCCCCGATCCCCTCCATCTGGCGAAGATGGATCGGGGAACCTGTGCTGATTTGCGAAGGGACCCACCCTGGCGGCCGCCGCCACCTCTGGGAAAGCCGTTCGCCTTTAGCCCACCTGTGATGTTTCTTGAACCTGCCCTTCGGCGGCCGCCGCCAGCCTTCGGGAGATCCGCTCCTATTTCAACCGCTCGAGGTTCTGTTGAACCCACCCCCAGCCGACGTGGCGTGGGGAAGGGTAAATTTGGGTAATCTATATAAAACACCCTTCCTGGGTAGCCGAGCTGGGGAAAGGCCTTAACCTGTCTCCGAATGGGGTTTAGTCTATAACTCGACCCCTGTTCCAGAATCCACAGTTGCTGTGGAAAGAGTGGTACATCAGCATGGCCCCCTTGTGACTAGTGTAGGTGAGAGCGAAGCGCGCGTGGATCTAGTATCTGTATGTCTGTACGCTTTGTAATGTAGTATGATGAACATTTACGTGCGCATGTGAATATACATGTAATGGATTGCGCTGTAGCGTACTGCAGTGTATTGTGATGAGTTGTGCTGGACTGTACTGTACTGTATTGTGGTGTACAGCGCGGCACTGTAATGTAATGTAAGTTAATGCTGTGCAATGCATTGCAATGTTATGTACAGTAATATAATGCCATATGATGAAATGTAGCGTAGGGCGCTGAAATGCAATGCATTGTAATGTAAGGTAATGTAGTCTAATGTAATGTTAGGTAATGCTGTGCACTGTAATGCAGCGTTCTGCAGTGTTGTAGTGTAGTGTGCTGTAGCGTAGTCGAAAGTTGCATTCTGTATTGTAATATGATGCGATGTCCTGTAAGAGAGTGAATTGTATTGTGATGCAGCGGTAATGTAATACAATGTAATGCCATGCGATGTACTTGTAACGTAAAGGAATGCCATGTAACGTAATGTAAGGTATTGTAGGGTGTTGTAATGTAGTGTTACATATGTAATGCCATGTGGCCTGCTGTAATGCAATACTATTCGAGGTAGCACGCTGTAATGTATGGCAACGCCGTGTAATATGATGCGTGTGTGCGTGTTTGTGTGTATGTGTGCAAGTACGAATGTACTTGTGCACATTTGTATATGTATATATACATCTGTGTGTTGGATCCCAGCGTATTGTCCCTGGGCCTCTGCAGAACGAGTGATGGTGTGTAAATCACCACCACGGGCCAGCGATCTGTTCCACACCGCAAACCTCCCACGGGCACAGGGAACACTCGTTGGCTGGTGTCTGCGCACAGGCCTCCGCGGTGTGGATGAGGGCCCCCGCGCCGCCCGCCCAGCCCTCCCGAGAGGTGACCGGCGCCATGCGGCCGCTGACCGGCGCCGTCGGGCCGGGCGGCTTGGGCCGGCTGGGCACCAGCTCTACGCGGCAGGGCACCGCGATGGGTTCCATCTAGGGCAGCAAAGCTTGACCAGCACCGTGGGCGGAAAGCATGTCTAGGGAAACAGTCAATGACATAAACATAACAACTCGGAGGTCCGCGCGGATTTCTCGGATCGGCACCGGAGCCCCCTGGCGGCGCCTCCGGCGCCGCGCTTGGCGCGCTCCGCGCTCCAAGGAGGGGGGTCCATCGTCGATCCGAGAAATCCACGCGGACCTCTGAGTTATTATGTTTATGCCATTGCTCATTTCCCTAATATCCCTATCCGCAGTCTCGTGGGGTGGGCCCCTGTGCCGCGATCACGTGGGCACGTGGTGTTTTTTTTCGCGGACGCCCTTCGCGGAGCGTATCCTGGCGACCGCATATTTGTGGGATCGCCCCTTGGAGTCCAGACAGCGAGGGCGTGGATATGGATACGTGTGTCGCTCATGACAGCGTTGTCCCCTAAGAGCTATGGCGACGCAGCACCAGTTTTTCAACGTTTTCGTCCTCTGGAGGCCATGCCCTGGGCCCAGGACCGTCAAACATGATTCAGGATGATCAGCCAGACCTAGGGACGGGGTCGAAATCCCTGGGGACTGACATCAGCAAAAAAACATGCCATGCTGGATAGGAGGTTCGATCGCTGCTATAGGGAGGTGTACAGTCGGGCCCCACGAATCGAAGGGAGCACTTTCTGGATAATCTTTGGCATAAGTATGACATTCGGAGGTCCGCGCGGATTTCTTGCGTCGGCGCCGGCCCCCCCCCTCCTCCGCAATCCTGCCGTCGCTTCCAGCGCTGCTTCCGGCGCTCCCCGCGCGCGGGGCGTCTGTCTACGAATTTGCGCGAGGATCCTGTGAGTGGGGTCGGTGGCTGGGTGGGTTGGTGTGAGTAGTGAGTAGGGAGTAGTGCGTAGCGAGTCGGGAGTAGCGAATAGTGAGTAGTGGGTAGTGACTAGTGAGTTGTTAGTAGGGAGTCGTGAGTAGTGAGTAGTGAGTAGTGAGAAGCGAGAAGTGGGTATTGAGTAGTGAGTAGGGATTTGCGGGTAGAAATTTGTGAGTAGTGAGTCGTGAGTCGTGAGTAGTGAGTAGTCAGTAGTGAGTGGTGAGTAGTGGCTAGTGACCATGGGGTAGGCAGTAGTAAGTAGCGAGTAGTGCGTAGTGGGTAGTGAATATTCCGTATTGGGTAGCGAGTAGCGGATAGTGAATAGTGAGTTGTGGGCAGTGCGTAGTGAGTGGTGAACTGTGAGTACTCAGTAGTGAGTAGTGGATACTGGTTAGTGGGCAGTGAGTCGTGCTTAGTAAGTAGTGAGTAGTGGGCAGTGAGTAATGTTTAGTGAGTAGTGAGTATTGAGTAGTGGGTAGTGAGTAGTGAGTAGCGCGTCGGCAGCAGTGAGTAGGGAAAAGGGAGTAGGAAGTAGTGAGTAGTGAGTAGTGGGGGAGTACTGAGTAGTGAGTAGTGGGTAGTGCATAGTGCGTATCGGGTAGCGAGTAGGGCTTTGGGGTTCGCGAGTAGTTAGTAGTGAGTACTGTGTAGGGAGTAGGGAATACGGGAAAGCGAGTAGCGAGTAGTAGATAGTGAGTGGTGAGTTGTGGGCAGTGAGTAGTGCGTAGTGAAGTGTGAATAGTGAGTTGTGGATAGTGGTTAGTGTGTGGTGAGCAGTGACTTGTGATTAGTGAGTAGTGGGTTGTGAGTTATAGTTTTTTTTGTTGATTTTCTTTCTTATTTTGTGAGTAGTGAGTAGTGAATAATGGGTAGTGAGCAAATAGTTTGTAGTGAGTAGGGAGTAGGGAGTAGTGAGTAGTGGGTAGTGGGTAGTGAGTCGTGCGTAATGAGTAGTGAGTGCTATTTGGGGCTAGGGTTTGGGTTTGGGGTTCGGGTTGGGGGTTCGGGTAAGGGTGAGGATTAGTGTTAGGGGTGGTCGGGGTCGGGTTCCGAAGACGGGGGGCCGTGGCGAAAAGGGGGGGGCGGGTCGAATTTGGCGGCCAAAGGGGGGAGGGGGGGGGGTCCCCGACGACGGACCGGGAAAGGGGGGGAAGGGGGGGTCGCCGACGACGGATCGGGAAAGGGGGGAAAGGGGGGGGGTCCCCGACGACAGGGGGAGGGGTCCCCCCCCCCCCGTGGGGTCAGCGGCGCGCCTTCCCCCCCGCCCCCCGTGACGGCCAGTGCATGGCCCATCGCCGATAAGTCGCGAGGCATCGCCCGGAGAGATCCTACGACGACTCCATCTACTCGGACCCCATCTACTCGGACCCCATCTACTCGGACCCCATCTAGGAGGCCCTTGGGTTTCCACGGCGGCGTTCCATTGACTCTGCTTCCCCAGAGGCTCCACTGGCTTCACCATGACGCTGGAGGCTGGAGATGTCTCGAGCGAGAGGGGGGGACCACACCACCGGGGAGACACCCGCTTGCCTCCTCTCCTCTCCTCGCCCTGGTGGTGCTGGCGTCGCCTCTCCTTGCTCATACATCGGTAGCACGCAGTTGGGTTCCCTCGGCGGCGTTCCACTGGTGCTGCTTCTGCTCCCTCCACCGGCTTCACGATGACGCTCGAGCAAGCTAGCCAGCGAGTTCACCATTTTGGTTCAAGCTCTAGGCTTGAGCAAGCTTAGCCAGCGAGCTCACACCGAGGGCCAGCAAAGTCTCCGGCGAGTCTTCTGTTCATCCCGTGTCACGTGCTCTCACTGGGTACAGCAGGAGAAGAGCATTGAATTGATCGTTGTGATCGTTATCGTTGTTATTGTTGTCTTCTGCCCCCCCGCAGGATCACCTGAGGAGAAGCCTGTGGGAGGAGGAGGAGGAAGAGGAGGAGGAGGAGGAGGATCAGGAGCAGGAGGAGGAGGAGGATGAAAAGGAGGAAGAGGATGAGGACGAGGATGAGGATGATGATGAGGAGGAGGAGGAGGAGGAGGAGGAGGAGGAGGAGGAGGAGGAGGGGGAGGGGGAGGTGGAGGGGGAGGGGGAGGTGGAGGGGGAGGGGGAGGGGAGGGGGTGGAGGGCAAGCTAGGTGCGCTCGCGTCATATCTGACATCCTACCCCTCCCTCTCTACTCGCACAGTCGGATGTCGAGCAGGGCAATGATCCCGAAAGGGTACGCGATGCATTGTAGAGCACGGCATGGCATGGCGTAGAAGAGCACCGCAAAGCGTAGTATCAACCTAGCATTGCATTGCATGCGAGTCGAAACGAGCGGAAGCGCGGCAATGAGGCCAGCGCTGCAGCGGGAGCACGATTCGGAACGAGCGGAAGCACGGAAATGAGGCCAGCGCTGCAGCGGGAGCACGATTCGGAACGAGCGGGGCCCGAAAATGAGGCCGGCGCCTCAGCGAGAGCAGCATTTTGAAAAAAATGCAGGCGAAAACCCAGCTCCGGGGAAACTTATGTGTAAAAAACAGTACGCGGGGGGGGGTCGGACACTTTCCAACCGTCATCAGGGGAAGGAGGAGAGCAGTATTCATATTGAGCATTTGTGGAGGAGGAGGAGGAGGAGGAGCAGGAGGAGGAGGAGGAGGAGGAGGCGTTCAATTGGTACGGCTTTTGCTCCCCCACAGGCTCCACGGGCTTCACCATGACGCTCGGCTCCACGGGCCGGCTGAGCACCGCGGCGCGCTCCAAGGCCAGCACGCGCGGCAGCGGCGGCTTCCGCCCGCGGACCGGCAGCACCTTCGGGCGCCCAGGCACCAGCGCCGCGGGCCTCGGGGACGACGTGGAGGACATTGGCAGCTCGGGGGGGATCCCCCCTCCTCCTCCTCCTCCTCCCTCCTCCTCCTCCTCCTCCTCATCCTCCTCTCCTCCTCCTCCTCCTCCCCCCTCCTCTCCTCCTCCTCCTCCTCCTCTCCTCCTCCTCCTCCTCCTCATCCTCCTCCTCCTCCTCCTCCTCCTCCTCCTCCTCCTCCACCTCCACCTCCTCATTCTCTACTCGTTGTGGTGTCGGGTGTGGTCGAGGCTTCGTCAGCCTGTCGCTCGTCGTCGGGAGGGAAGTCTTGGCAACCCGGCCTTCTGGGGAGACTCGAGCTACACATGTGATCCTTCAGGTCACGGTCACAACATGATACGGACGTTCGCTCGGTTGAAAAACTTCTCTGCGGCCAGTGGGCTGCTGGACCTTTCGAGGTATTATGAACAGATTTATCACGAGGAGCTTCGCGCGGAAGCTATCGAGACTGGCTTCCCGATCGGGCTCCTCAAGTGTTCTGTGCGACGTATAGGCTTCCTCGGCGCGCCGTCTGGCAGGGAACAGTCAGTGCTGCTGTAAAGGCTACTGGGACCGTGGCGGCAGGGTGCAGCGGAGCTCTAGCCTTGGCCAGATTATTCGTGCACACGCTAGTGGTCAAGCTGCAAGCTCGATTCCTTGCCGTCCGTTTTCAAGATTTGGTAGATGTTTTTGTTGCTTCAGTCTTTATTCATTCTAGATCAGGTTGTCAATCAGCTTCCTGATGCGTCGATGGCCCTGGTCCAGGGCCTGGAGGCCAAAAGGCGTCGAGTCAACTGGGACAAGACATGGTATTTCGCCAGCTCTTCTGAGCTCGCGTCCAGCCTGAATGACCGTTGGTCATCTCTGACCTCTGGGGATAGGCTCGTAGGTGGCAGGTGTCGCGGCACGGATGCCAACGATGGCTCGGCCAGGCGAGTAGGAGAGCAAGACAAGCGGTTTCAAAAAGCACAGCGCGTAACGGCCAAAGTGTTGCAGTTACGCGAGGCCTGTGCCCAGGCCAGCGCAATGATGAGGGGTTACCCTAGGGCTACGGCGGTTTGGGGGGTCTGCGGCGACGGGACTTGCTGACCGCAAGCTGCACGGTTTCAGAGCTGCGGCCCTCAGGGCCGATGGCGGAGGCTCCTTGTTGCGTCTTCGGTAGGACTGAGGCTCAGGGCTACGCCGCGCGGAGCCTTCCGTGATCCCCGGGTCGTCCCTGCCGTCGAGGTCGTGGAACACTGGGCCCTGGCGGGGATGCCTCGGACCTCCCCCGGGCACGGCCCCGCGCGGGCCGGCTGGGAAGCGCTTCGGGGGCGGAAAAGAGGGGGGTGATGACTGGGCGGGGGGTGATTTCATGGCGCGGGCCATGATTTTTCCTAAGATTTCATGGCGCCTCTTCTCATTTCATCGCGGCCCTGGCCCCCGCGCTGGGCCGCGCACGTGCCGCCGGTCATGATTTGCACCCCCCCCTCTTGGACACCCCCCTCTTGGCCGCTCCCGAAAGCTGGCCGCGGGCTGCTTTCGAAGGCGCGTCCTTGGGCTCAGTGTGTGGACCCCGCGCAGGCGACCCTGCCAGCCCTTGCGCGCGTAGGCGTCTCTAGGGACGACGCCTTCTCGGTCAATGTTTTCGGTGCTTCGTACTCGCTGCCTGAGTTTAGTGCCGGCTTCGTGTGCGAGCGAGTTCGCGAGTCAGCAAACAGGCTGCCCGGCGCATTCATGAAAAAAGTGAAGTGCACGGCGATCGCTTCTGTCGCTGCCTCTTCCCATCCCCGCGCTGTTCTTTTCCCCAGGTTGAGCCTGAGGTCAAGCTCTGATGGGTTGGGCTTCCTGCAGGGTGGCGCTTTTCGGGCTCAGATTTCGTAGACGGCAGTGCCTTGCACACAACGCTGTCCAGAATCAGCAGGGCTGGTTTCGCGATCGTGCAGATTGACAGAGCAGGCGCTGTTATCGGAGCCTGCTATGGGATAGTGCCGCTGCGTGTAGCGCCTCTCCAGCAGGCGAGAGACGGTGAAGACATGGCCTTCTCTGTTCTTGCCGATACTTCAGAATGGATTGAAGAAAACTCCTTCATGTTTACTCTGATTGCTCTGCGTCCTTTGGTTGCGCCCTGGATCCGTGCGTTGTCCTTGCAGAGCTGCATCCCAGGAAGCACTTGAGGCACGGCTGGTGGAGTGGAACCCATCCAAAAGCGAGTGTGTTTAAGATCCAGGCTCACATTGGACTGCAGAGTGCGACCAGTGATCATGAAGTGTGGACGGTTCGTGGCAACAGGGCTGCGGACCACTACGCTAAGCACGGGGATCGCCTGTGGCACGTTCCCTCCCAGCAGGTGCTTTTCGTTCAGGTCTTGGAGAGCCTTGCAGTGGTTGCGACGAGATGGCATGCGAGGGCCCAGCAAGTGTTCGGGGATTCTGCGTTCGTTGAATCTGAAGGGGTTGCTGGGACTTCGGATGTCACAATGGAGGTCGATCCTGAACTCTGGGAGGCTCTCGAGGAGGCCTGTGTTCAGGAGGGGGTGCGTCCGTTTGAGGGCGTTGAGGGCGCGGCCCTTGTGGGTGCGGCTCCTGCCGCTGCTGCTCAGCCCTATCCTCCCGCTCCTCCTCTTGAGGACACTGTCCAGAGCTCAGGGGCCCCTTGGAGCTTCAATGGGCACAGTGTTGTCCAGGCGGGCCTTGTGGGCCTGGAGGGCTGCCATGCGGTGCAGCCTGGGGAGCATGTGCTTTTCTGCAAGGGGGTGTGGCGCTTCAGTGTTTCGACGGGTACGGCGGGGCGAGGGCCTGGATGGTCCTTGCCAGGGCCTGTCGGCCCCGGGCCTCTGGACGCAGCGGTCCAGACTTTGGAGGGGTCTTTTTCCCGGGCGGGTCCAAGCTAGGATCGGCGACGCATCAGGCCCGACGCCTGCGCAGGTCGAGGCATGGGCGCCGCGACTGTTGTCGCTTCAGAGCGGCGCTGATGTCGCCGCCACGGGCTGCGAGGTCAGGCTGAGGGAGCGTGTCGGTCCGTCGTCGTCGTTGTCGCCGTCCTCGTGTGGGCTGTGGCTCCCTCAGCTGTTGGATTATGATGTGGCCTCCCTTCACGGTTTCGTCTCCCCTTCCGCGGTGGTGGAATTCGCCTCGTGGTTTGAGGGGGCCCGTGCGGGGGCCACGCTTTTCGAGCTCCCTCCAGAGGAGGATTGAGCTCTCTTCTTGCGACCGTTGTGCCGAGCGTTTCCTTCGGGATTCGACTCCGTCAGGCCCTCGGTCCCTCCTCCTCCTCCTCCTCCTCCTCCTCCTCCTCCTCCTCCTCAGTGCGGCAGGTTCCTGTCGTGTCGACGCGGTGGCAAGCCTGGCGCGGGCGTTCCAGGGTGAATTGGAAGAAGAAGAATAATACGCATCATGCTAGTATGAGTAATAACAATATATGATTACTACGAGCAAGAAGAGCACGAATAATACGACAATGATATTCATACAGGTAATAATACTACTACGAATATTACCACTAATACTAATACTAATACTAGTAATATAACACCAAATCGTATCCCAGTGCGACCCTACCTAGGAGTTGGAGCATCTAGGAAAGCAACATGTACATCTACACCGACAGCTACATTAACATCTACACCTGCATCTACATCTACATCAACATCAACAGCGAGACTCACATCTACATCTACATCTACACCTACATCTACACCTACATTTACATCTACATCTACATCTACACCTACACCTACATCCACATCTAGACCTACATCTATATCTCCATCTACACTTTCGCATGGGTTTTGCTTTTGCTTTGCCTTGCCTTTGCTTTTGCTTTTGTTGTTGCTGTTGATTTTGCTGTGCTGTTGTTTTTGCTTTTGCTTGATTTTGTTTTTTTGCTTTGCCTGCGCACAGACACACACGCATGTTTTCGCATTCGCTCACCGGGTGTGCTTGAGAATGCTCCGTATCCTGTCTACACCGCACGACTTGGCATTGAGCAAGGTTGTGCCACATTTGCTACGCCGAACGTTCCTACGAAATTGTACAGCAGCAGCAACTCCCAGATCGGTGCATCACCTGTGCTATGCTGCGCTATGCTATGCTATGCTATGCTGCGCGATGCTATGCTATGCTATGATTTGCTATGCTGAGCTATACTATGCAATGCTATGCTATGCTGCGCTATGCTATGCAACGCTGTGCTATGCTATGCTGCGCTGTGCTATGATAAGATAATATATGCTATGCAATGATCTGCTATGCTATGCTGCTCTATGCTATGCTAGGTTATGATATGAAATGCTATGTTATACAGCGCTATGATATGCTGCGCTATGCTCTGCTATGCTATGATATGACATGCTATGAAAGGCTATGCTATGATATGCTATGCTATGATAATGTTGCGTTGTGCTATGCTAAGCTGAGCTCAACTAGGCTAAACTAGGCTAGGCTAGGTTTAAGCTAAACTAAGCTAAGCTAAACTAAGCTCAGCTAAGCTAGGCTAGGCTAAGCTAAGCTAAGCTAGGCTAATCTAAGTTAAGCCAGGCTAAGCTAAGATGATATAGGCAACGCTAAGCTAGGGGGACGTAGCTGGGGGAACCGCGGGGCGGATACTGGGGGAACCGCCCGGGGCGGGGACCACTGCCCGGCCCTTTAAGCACACCGAGTAAGAACCCTTCTAGGCAGAGCCTAAGTAGGGAATTTGTATGAATACTAACAACAATATTACGAATGCGAACAATAAGAACAAGAAGCAACGCCATAACCATACAAACTTTTGGCGCTCCGCACGGATCTCTCGGATCCGCGCTGGGCCCCCCGGGGGCGCCCCTGGCGCCGCCCCATGCGCGCTCCGAGCGTCGGGGAGGGGTTGTCCAGCGCAGATCCAAGGAGTCCGCGCGGGGCACCAAAGGTTTCTGTCTACCCCGTGTTTGGTTCCTCTGGTGGCTGGCCCGGTGCGGGCGTTCCAGGTTGGATTCGGGGGCCTCGAGACGGGGGTCAATGCAAACGGGGGTCAGCCAGGGCACCTGATCCTGAAGGATCCTGCGAAGAA